CAGCAACCCAAGCCTCCCCAGCAGCCGTCGCCGCCGCCACAGCAGCCGCCGCCGCCGCCGCCGCAGCCGCCGCAGCAGCAGCAGCCGCCGCCCCAGGCCCCCCCCATGGAGCCCGAGGCCCCGGATTCCCGCAAGAGGCCCCTCGAAACGCCCCCCGAGGTGGTCTGCACCAAGCGCAGCAACACGGGAGGTGAGAAAGGGTTGCGGCTCGGTGTGGGGGAGCGGGCCGGGGGCCTCGTCTTTCTCCATCCTCCTCCCCCCTCCGTGGCAGGTGCAAGGGCTCTGGGGAGGGGAAGGGCGCCCCTCCCTAGCCCCGGGAGCTGAGAGGGGCGTTGGGGAGGGGGCCGGACCCCCTCCCCCTCTCGCCGCTGCCCCGGGCTGAGAGCTTTGTCTGCGATGAAAAGGGGTGGGGGGGGGAGGGGGGGGGTAGGGGCCCTTGGGGGGCGCAAAGGATGGGGGGCGTGGGTCTCTCCGGGCGGGTGTCTCTGTGTCCTTGAGGGGTGTGTGATGTGACCCTTTCGGGGCAGGGGTGTTCCCGGGCTGGCGTGTCCTGGCAGGGGGGAGGGGAAGGAGTAGAGGAGGCCTGTGGACCCGGAGCTTCCCAGCCTCCCTCCCTGGGGATGTCCTGAGCAAGGGTTGTCCCAGAGGGAGGCATGAGTGGGCCATGGGCGGGATCGTGCGTGGGGACAAGCTGGGTGGGTGTGTTGGGTGAAATGGGGGAATGGGTGGGTGTGTAAACCCAGGTGGGAGAACGTGTGGCTGGGACAGGTGTGTGTGTGTTTGTGTGTAAGAGGCAGGGTGAGATGAGGGGCTGGGCTCTGTGTCTGAGGCTCTCAGAGGGGTAAGTGTGGCAAGGGAAAGTGTGTGCCTGTCACCCTGGAGGGGGCTGTGGCCTTGTGACACATGAGTGAGAGGGTGTGTGTGACATGCAAGGGGGCGTGTGGGGGAAGCTGAATGGGCCAGCTTTGGGTGTGAGCCACGAGAGGCCGTGTGGATCCAGGAAGGCAGTTCCGTGTGTGTGACACAGGCGTGTCTGGGGTGGGGTGGGACCAGGAGAAGCTGGTGAGGGTATGTGACAAGAAAAGGGTGTGGGCGTGACTCCAAAGAGGCTGGGGCTGGGTGTGACACATGGAGGTGTGCAACGGTGACATCAGAGGGGGCGTGTGCGACAAGGGAAGGTGGGCGTATGACGGGAGAGGTTGGGGCTCCGTGGGTGAACTGCACGAGGGTGTGTAACAAGGGGAGGGAAGGATGGGTGCCTGTGTGACAGGGAACAGGGAACGTGTATAGATGACACCCAAGGGCTATGGAAAGGGAAGGGGTATGTGCGCGTGTGTGCGTGTGTGTGTGTGTGTGTATGTAGCTGTCACAAAGGGCGGGTGTTTGTGTGAAATGGTTGAGTGTGTAACACCAGGAATGTGAGAGTGATCTGTGTGTGAGAGAGAGACAAGGGATTGTGTGTGTGTGTGTGTGTGTGTGTGTGTGTGATGCCTGAGTGTTTGACAACACAGAAGGTGTGTGCGTGGAGGACAGACGGGAGGGCCCCTCACTGTGTGTGTGACCCGAGGAGGTAGGTGTACCAGAGAATAAAAGACAAGCTGCTAACTCTAGGGGTGCGACTCTGTGGCCAGGGACTCGGGAAGGAGGTGGGGAGTCTCGGAGACCCCAGAGGCCAGCCTATTAGCTCCCTGGATGGAGGGAGACCCCAGAGCAGCCAAGCCCCTCCCCGCGGTCACCTTGGCCAAAATCTGCTTCCTCTGGCCTTTTCCTCCGGACGGGAGAGGGATGGCCCGGGGCAGAGTGCACTCCCCACCCCCCTCCACCCGGTGGGTGGGGTGGGGGCCTCCCGCCTCCTCCCCTCCACTCTCTTTCCTCCCACTCCAGCCCCCCTCCCACTCCTGTCGCGGTGGGACAGGAATCGGGGACCCCCTGGCTGCCTGTGTGGGGGGGTGTCCGGCAGAAATCGAAGGAAAGGGAAGTTGGGGGAGGGGTGAGAGGGAATTTCCTGTCCTTCTTCCTGCCCCCCACCCCCCAGCACACGCATGAATGTGTCCCAGCCAACTTCCTTCCCTCCTTCCTGCCGCGGGCCATTCCCAGTCCCGGGGAGAGCCCGACCTGGCAGCCCAGCCCTGCCCCTGCTTGAGGAAAGGGGTCTCGTCCTTCTTTGGAAGGGACTGAGGTCCTCCAAAGCTGCCTAACGGTGGTGAGGCTGTGCCAAGGACGGTCAGGCCCAAGTACTCGGCACCTACTGCCAGTCGGGCTCTGAGATATGGGTTAATTTCCCACTACAGCCCTCTGGGGGAGACCACCGGAGCTGCTTTTTCACAAGAGGAAAACAGGCTCGGCGAAACGAAGCCACTTGCCCCAAGTCACACAGCTCAGGAGTTGGTGGCGCTGGGATCTATCCAGCGCTGGGCTGCCTGGCTCCAAAGCCCGCGTGCTTAACCACCGTGCACCCGGCCTCCCTCAGCAGCGGGGAGACTGGGAGGAGCCCTTAGGGACCCTCTCCTCCAGACTCTGCCACCTCCCCTCCCGTGGACCCGCGGGGAAACTGAGGCCCGGAGCTGCAGAGGGACGGTCCTCCGTTGACGCTCCGGGGGCAGCGTTGGGCAAGGATGCGGGACTTCCATCTCAACGTTGAGGGCTTCTTGCAATAATACTGTCCCGACGGGGGGCGGCGGGGGGGGGGGGCGCGGGGCATGCTGGGTCACCCTCACGTCCCTTCTGAGCCTCAGGGTCACCATCTGGCAAGTGCGGAGATCCCAATAACCGCACCGATAATAGTAATAACGACGACCATTATCATTGCTTGCCGCTTCAGAGGCAGCATTTCATGTAATTCTCCCAACACTCTGTAATGTAATAATTAATAATGCATTATAATAATGGCTAACATCTATGGTCTGCAGTGCGCCAGGAAGTATTATGGAAAATGCTCGGCACGGACCCGATCATTAATCCTTATAATTCTGTTATGTTACCCTTCTCACAGATGACAAACCGAGGCACAGAGAGGTTAAGTAATGTGCCCGAGGTCGGTCAGCTAACAAGAGGCAGAGTTGGGGTTTGAACCCGGGAGACGGGCTCCGTTCTGTGGCTAGACACGAGAGTGAACCCCGTTTTCAGGCGAGGAAGCCGAGGCTCAGAGGGGTGAGGGAGTTTTCTGGGGTGTCACAGCAAGTCGGGGCAGAGGGGGGGGGGGGGGGGGCCAGATTGAGCTCCTGCCCGCAGCGCCAGCCGGCCCATTCTTGGGGGCTCCTAGGAGGGGTAGCGGCTGTTACCATTGGTGCCTGTGCCCTGTGACTGACAGAGCCCACTGGGAGGGGGACAGGCTGTCCAAGCACAGGAGGACTTGGGTGAAGAGGTTGAATGGGAACTCCAGGGGGAACCCATCAGAGACACGAGTGACTGCAGTCTGGTGGGACAATAACAAAGAGTGTCACCTGCCTCCCACTCCCCCCTCCCCCCCCGGTGCAGATGGGACTCTTTATTTACTTTTTTTTAATGTTTATTTTATTTTATTTTTTGAGAGAGAGAGAGAGAGAGATAGAAACGGAGCAGGAGTGGGGTAGGGGCAGAGAGAGAGAGAGATAGACTCCGAAGCAGGCTCCAGGCTCTGAGCTGTCAGCACAGAGCCCGAGGTGGGGCTCGAACCCGCTAACCGCAAGATCACGACCTGAGCCGACGTCGGCCGCTTAACCGACTGAGCCACCCAGGCGCCCCCAGATGGGACCCTTAAAGTGCCACTAGAATAGCAGACTGCTGACTGTATTCCCATCTCTGTCACCCCCATACGTACAGAAACAGCCACTCTCCCCCACATGCGGGCGCGCGCGCTCACCCCAGACTAGCTTAAGGCAGCGGTGTCTTGCTCCCAGCATCCCTCACTGTGTAACATCAAGACAATGTCACCAAGGGTCAAGAGCGAGACCTTCCCCCGGGGGGGGGGGGGTTCGTCGCCTCACTGCCACGTGCTTGGTGTGGGACCCTCAAGCAAGTTATCCCACGCCTCCGGGTCTCAGTCTCCGCATCTGGAAAGTGGGGGCCGCGGAGATCTGCCCCTGCGCCCCTCCCGGGGCTGTCGGAGTGGGTTCAAGGAGATTGTCTCCGTGAAGCACTCGGCAAAAGGCCTGGCAGTTGGGAGGCCTGGCGTTGCTATTGCTATTAGGGTAGGGCCGCCGCAGCCTCCACGACATCGCACCCAGCCACCCTTCTCTCACCCAGAGCCCGCATCGCCCCTTCGGCCTCTCGTCCCTTGGAAGCACGCGCCACGCCCTGGTTGGACTGCATTTCTCCCACGCATGGGCACCCCCGACGTCCACAGAGAGACTTCTTCATACACCTGACGTCCCAGCCCTCCTGGGGGGGGCGCCACTGTCCCCCCCGCACCCTGCCATGGCTTGCCTTTCACCAACAACACCCCTCCACACACTGCCACGACAATACCAACCTCACACCCCAGCCACTTCGGAGCTCCGTGGGGCACACCGACCCTACCCAAGGAGGTCCCCTCCCCAACCTCCCCACCCAGAGCAGGTACCCCGAGCGCCAACACCCCGACAGCCGGCCCTCCCCAGATGTGCTGTGTCTGAAAACACCTCTACACCCCTTCAGGTCTGCCTTTGTCATTAATGACCCCCTCTTTATTTTATTATTTTTTAACGACACCCCCCACCCTCCACGGAAAGCCACCTCTCAGGGTCAACTCTCTGACAATAAAAACGGCCACCCTTGCCACGGCACCCCCAATCTCTTGGGCAGGTAAACATTATTGAAGGGGAGAGGGGTATTCTTTGCCTTTTGGAAGACTCCGGAAGCATGTCTGAGGACGGTGGGCACCAAAGTTAGGGGGAGACTAGAAGGAGGAAGACAGCCCCTTCCCAAGGGGCGAATGCTTGACATTGTAGTGGGAGGAAACCATCGGGAGAGGGGAAGTTGGCATCTCGACTGCCTCGGTCCCCATCGTGGCTAAAGGGAGCTTCCTGAGTCCCAAGGGAAGCGCCAAGAGGGGGGGTGGAGGTAGGTGGGTGCAGAGTCTGGAGGTTCAGACTCTGCTTCGGTAGAAGGAAGAACTTTTCCACAGGGAGAGCCTTGGTTGTTCGGACTGGGTGGGAGCGTGTGAAGTCTGGGGGCTCTAGGTTCAGCGGAGGGTCCGTGTCTGTCCTGGCTGCAAGGCAGGCCGGGAGATCGCGGCCTGGCTCTTTCCTGGGGTGGGGGGGAGCGGGGATCACATGGGAGGGAGGGGTGCCCCCGAATGAGAGGGATGTGCAGAAGATTCCGAAGAGGAGCAGAGCGGTCTGTTGGCCACACTGGGGACTCCTGCCCTGACTTCTGCAGGCCGGAGGTCCCAATGGTCACTCTCCACAGGAGACGGGCCTGAGGTCGGTCTGATACGGGCACCCCACCCCCCACCCCCGCCCAGAGCACCCATAAGATGGTTTCAGGCGGTCCACGGACCAACTTTTTTTTTTTTTCCTTTTACCCTTGTATGTGCCTATGATATGCTTCGTGGGGGTGGGTGGGACGTAACCCGCCTTCAAACCCTGATTATGAGCAGTGATGTTCAAATGTCCTCTTGAAATAGATGCGTTTAAATGTTCAAAGGGAGCAGACTTGAGGGAAATGGACCGTGGGTCTTGTTCCGTGCTGTGTCACCAGCACCTAAAACGAGGCCTGGCTCAGAGTGGGTGCCCAGGAAGGATTTGTTGGAGGAAGGGAGGGGAGGAGAAGGAGAGAAGGCAGTCGAGGGAGGGAGTCAGAGATGCTGGGTGGGAGAAGGGCCACGGCGGGGCCGCCCCCCCCCCCCCGGCGGGGCCGGCTGGCTTCCATCAATGAGAGCTCCTTCCTCCTCCAAGAAACAGAGAAAGGCCTGGGGCAGCCCCTACGGGGCACGTGATGAAGGAAGTGGGGTCTCCCCTTCCTCCGGTTGCCCAACAAAAACCTCAGACCTTAGGGGCTCATCTCCCCGTTTGGGCCAGACGCTGTGAGAACTCTACTTGTGTTCCTGACATCAGCATCGCTCGCGATCGGGATGGAGGTAATGACAGCTAACGTTTCTCACGGGCTCTACGTGCCCGAGACCATCCCAAGTGCTTTATGATTTATCATTTAACGAGTTGCCGTAGCCCTATGAGGTAGTGCTCTCATGTCCCCATCCTATCAGTGAGAAAACTGAGGCCCGGAGAGGCGAGGCGGCTTGCCCAAGGCCACGTGGCCTGTCAGTGGCAAAATTCACACTCTAGGGCTGTTTCTGCGGCTTCAAAGGGAGATTCCTGGGGAAGTGTGAGACAGAGGGAACAGAAAACGGGGTGGGGGGGTAATCAGTTTTCTTCAGAACAGATGAATACCTTCCATCTTTAAGAGGGGAGTTTGCGGAGGCGGCGGTGGGGGGGGCGCCTGGGTGGCTCAGTCGGGTAAGCGTCCGACTTCGGGCTCAGGTCGTGATCTCGCGGTTTGTGAGTTCGAGCCCCGCGTCGAGCTCTGTGCTGACGGCTCAGAGCCTGGAGCCTGCTTCGGCTTCTGTGTCTCCTCCTCTCTCTCTGCCCCTCCCCTGCTCGTGCTCTGTCTCTCTCTGTCTCTCAATAATAAATGAACGTTTAAAAAAAAAAAACAAGAGGGAAGTTCAGGACGAGGCCCCTGGCTGGAGAGAAGAGTGGCAATGAAGTCAAAGAAGGAAAAAGAGGATGGAACCGTTGCGAGAACGCCCTCCCCATCTTTCTGAGCCTCCCGGAGGTGGAGAGCTGGCCCCCCATCTCTGTGGCAGGTTTAGGGGCGGCGTCAGGCAAGGGGCCACCTCTGTGAGCCCAGAGAAGAAAGCGAATTCAGGAGGGGGGGGCGGTCAGGATGATCGATGGGAAGGCACTCTGGGGGACTAATTACCTAATAGGTTTAATGGTCTGATGAGGCAAGTTTAAGAGGATTGCCTTGGGCTCAGGGCAACCCCTTCATTCTGGACCCTCTCGCCATGCCTGCAGAGCCACATCCAGCCCCTATACCCCCATCTTAACGCATCGGGGAGTTCAGAACCTTCCGTCTTAAGGGATCAAGCAGAGATGGGCAGGGCTCCCAGCCCCCCACCCTGCCCCCACTTTTACCAGAACAGTTTCTCTTTTCTGCTCTGTGTGTTGGAGTTTCATGTGAGACATTGAAAATAGGTTTCCTTTGGTTAAAAGAAAAAAAAATTAAAAAACCACTGGAGGATGGTTTAAGACCTTAAGCTTCGGAAGCAGAATGGCCTGGCCCCTCCCTTCCTTTCCCCCGGGTTTATTGCATGCCTACTATGTGCCAGGCACCACATGAGTCCCTGGGACACGAGGGTGAGCTCCAGTGACATGACCCACAATGGACCTTCTGTGATACATTGCTCTGAAGGCATAAGACAGGGAGGAGGGATCCACTCCTCCTCTGGGTTCCAGGAAAGCTTCCAAGAAGAAGCAATATTTGAGTGAGGGCCTGAAGGACAAGAGGAATTCGCTGTGGAAGGGGAGTTCCAAGCAAAGTGAATGAATGTGCAAAGGCCCTGAGGTGGGTGGGGGGCGGAGGGAACGTTTGAGCAGCAAAGTTATGTCTGATGGTCTGATGCACATAGTGGAAGATGAGGACGTGATGCTGGAAAGAAATGCAGGGCCAAATCACAGAGGATCTTATACTGAGAAGTCCCCAGAATTCCCACCCTATGAGAACTTAGGGGCAACAGTTTGGTCAGAAGGTAGGAGAGGTTAGGCATGTGCCTTGAATGCATTCACAAAGTGCTTTACACATGACCGAGATGATTGGTCCATAAAAAAAGCATGGCCACAGTCCCACAGTGGCCACTGGCACCACCTGTAGGTCTTGGAGACTGTCCTTGAGTGTGTTGGTTTTAGCTAGCAGGATCGGAAGGTGCTAAGCAAGTGAGGGCCAAGAAGGAAGCAGGGTTGCCTTGGACCCTCAAGCCAGTGGCTGTCTTGGTGCCCTTGAGCAGCTGACCTCAGGCTGGTGCCTTCACTGTCTCTGTGCCTCGGTTTCCACCTACGTAAAAATGGAGCTCATTACGCCCATCTCATTGGGAGTTGTAGGGAATGGTTGAGGTCAGGCTTGCGAAGCACAGTGCCGGGTCCCTATTGAGTGTTGAGAACATCTCTGGAGTCCAGCCCTCCTCCCCACACCCCTCAGTGGTTCCACCAGTCAGATCGCCATTACTCCTGCCTCATGAGCATCAGAGGGATCTTCTTGAAACTTAAGTCAGACCCCATCCCTCCTCTGCTCAGAGCCTTCCCATGCTTCCCATCTCACTGGGAGTAAAAACCAAAGACCTCACCGTGGTCCACAAAGTTCTACAGCCCACCACTACCACCACCCCTCCCGGCCCTCCTCTCCCTCCGCTCTCCCCGTCTCTTCCTCAGCCCCACCGACACCGGCTGCCTCACTTTCCCTCGGACAACTCAGGCACGATCCCACCCCAGGGCCTTTGCACTTGCTGCCCCAGAGAGCCACATGGTTCCCTTCCCACCTCCACAGCCTGGAGGCAGCGTATCACAACGGTCGCCAGGTTGGGTTCAAATCTCAGCACTGCCACCTACTAACTATGTGATGTGGGGCCATCATTTTACCTTTGTTTCCTCGTCTGTAAAATGGGCTTTCAAAAAGTACGTCTTTCATGGCACCAGTGTGGAAATTCAAAGAACTGGTATGCGTACAGTAGTTGGAACAGAGTTTAGCATGTCCTGGGTTCTGTAGAAGGGTCTGTTAAACAGAGAATGCCACGTTCTCTGTTAAACAGAGAATGCCACGTTCTTGGGGAGGGCTTTCCCGGCTACTGGATCTAACCCTGCAGCTCTCCCTACAACCCCTATCTCCTTTTCCTGCCCCTTTTTGTTTCCTTGGTGCTTACCACCATCCAACATAAAACATACTGTCTGTCGGCGCCCCCCCCCCCCCCCTCGAAGAATGTAGCTGTGTGAGCTCTTGGCTGAATCGCCCAAACTCTTTCGGTCTTATTTGCCTCATTTGCTTGCGAAATCAGGGAGTTTGTCTGCTTCCCTCAGGGCTGTTTCGCTAAAACAGTGCCAAGCGGGCGGTAACAGGTGCTCGGGAACTATTTGTGGGATGAATGAATGAATGAGTGAGTGAGTGAGTGAATGAGCGAACATCATTATTTGTGTTATTTTCCCCACTGCTATTCTCATGATCATGGCCCCTGTGTGTTCCTGGGATGCCTGTGGTTTCCTGGGCCCACAACCATACCGGAGATGAAGACCCCTTCCCCTGACTCCCTCACTCCCCCCCCCCCCTCCGTGTGCCCCTGCAGAGGAAGGCGAATACTTCCTGAAGGTGCTGATCCCCAGCTACGCAGCAGGCTCCATCATTGGCAAGGGCGGGCAGACCATCGTACAGCTGCAGAAGGAGACAGGAGCTACCATCAAGCTCTCTAAGTCCAAAGACTTCTATCCGGGTGAGCCCTGGCCCAGGACTCTGCCCTAGGCCTCCTGTCCTCCCACCTGGGTCCTGGATAAGCGGCAAGAGCTGCCCTTGGGGCAGTAAGAGTGATGGGGGGCCTCCCCCTCCTAAGGGGACAGAGCTGCTCTCAGCCCCAGGGGCCAGGCCTGAGCAGATGGGGGTGGGGGCAGGGCAAGACAATGGGCCTGCTGCATATTCATGAGCTCATTTGCATGGTGTGCTCGCAGATGTGCCCCTTCCCACACACCTGCCCCTTTGGGTCAGTTGGAGTTGCTGGAGGGGGGTGGGCAGGGAGGCAGGTGTCAGGGTGGCCCTTGGGGCGTGGGGGGGCAGCCATCCGTGTTGCACACCCCCGCCGCTTCTTTGCCCCCACTCTCCCCCTGTGGATTTCTCTGTTACCCCATCTTGCCCAGTCCGGGCCACGCTGGTTTTCTCTGTGTCATTCTTCCTATGTCCTGCTCATTCTGTTTCTGACTTTCCCAGTCTCTTGTTCCCTGAGTCTCCATCCCCATCCGCCCTCTGTCCGCCTCCTCTGGCTCTTCTTTTTGCTTCTATCTCCCTGATTCTGTTGGGACCCCCCCCCCCCCCCCTCGGGGGCACCCCCCTCCCCCACTTTTCCTTTCCCTCCACCTCTCGTGCTCTCACGTTTTGCTTTCTCTTGCTCCTTAACTCTCTCCGGCCAGTCGTGCACTCAACCAGTATTTCTTCGGTAGCACCCCTCAACAGGGTCACTCTGCCGGATTGCCCCTCGTTTCTCCCTGCCTCTGCCCACCCGTCTCTCCTTTTAGGTTTCCTTCTCAGTCTCAGCCCCCTTCATGGTTTTCCTTTCCTTTCTCCAAACCCAGCGTCTTTTCTGCCTGTCTTCCAGCTCTCTCTCTCCCACAACCATAACATTTTCAAGGCCCCTCCACTCCCTCTAATCCTCCTGCGTCTGTCACCCCCCACATCTCTCCCTCCCAAGACCAATGCCTGAGCTTCGACAGCCAGGAATCCAGGGAAGGCCCCCAGAATTGCATCTTTGGTCCAGAGCTGGCTCTAGTTCATCCTTAATCCCCTTGGATTTTTTAGGTCAAACACCAGAGCTGTAGCCCAGGGTCAGGGCACATTCATATTCTCTCTTCCTCTCTCTCTCTCTCTCTCTCTCTGTCTCTGTCTCTCCCTCCTCCTCCCTCCTCCACCCGCCCTGCCTCCCATCTCACTAAGCAGCTTTGGCAAGAGGTTTAGAGAACAGTCCAGGGAACCAGGCACACACACACACACGCCGCTTTCCTCTTCTGCCCTGGCCCAGTTTCCCCCGCACCCCCCTAGGCCCACAAGATACGGATAAGAACCTGTACTTGGGGCATTTATCCGAGGACACTTGGTTCCTTACTCCTGGATCACATTGTGTGACATGAGACACATCATCTCCTCCCATCTCAGTGACACAGCCCACAGGCCAGGCAGCTGAGATCCCCAGGGGATGGGACAGTCGTTGGCTCTCTTGGGCCAAATACCATTCACACAGGCAGCGTGAGCCAGCAACTCCCCCCAGCCTCAGGACATGCGGCCAGCGCGCGCGCGCGCACACACACACACACACACACACACACACACCATTCCTGACATGGAACTTCTAGATCGCCTGGCACGTGCCGGCTCTTGACTCAGAGGTACAGGACACAGCCCTCTAATCCTAGTCCTGCCCCTAGGACTTCCCACGAACCACAGGAACACGAGAAATGAGAATGCTACTGCTTGAGACCATCAGCTTATTTCCCTCTGCTCCTGGCTAACCCCCTTTCATTAATTTATTCACCCCACATCTGCTGGACACCTACTGTATCGACAGCGATGAGGACACAGCAGTGACTGAGATGTCCCGCCCTTTCCCTCACAGATCTCACAGCGTAGGGGGGAAGACAGGCGGAACACCTTCAATGACCCAGCCATGGTCAGGGCTAAGACGGGGAAGGCCAGAGGGTGGTGGCAGCCCAGCCAGGGCACCTGACCCAGCCTAGAAAGGTCAGGGAGGGCTTCCTGGAGGAGGGGCCCAGGACAATAAGTAAGAGTGAGCTAGATAAAAGCAGGGAAGAGCACTCCAGGAAGATGAACTGGCATGTTCAAAGACCGGAGGGGTAGTTGGTTCATTGTGACTGAAGCATCCAGAACAGATGACAAATGACAATGGTAACATCCAAAGGGCCCTCTAGGCCTTATGGGTTCACACACGATCACACAGACAGATGGACACACACACACACACACACACACACACACACACACACAGACTGCACTTGTGTTTACTACGTGAAACAAAAACCCACCTGACCTTTAACCCCAGGGGAGGGGCAGAACACAAAGGGTGTCCCCTCCTTGGTACAGGAAACTCCAAGCCCCAGACTCCATCCTTCAGATCATATGTGGAGAAACTGAGACCCAGAAAGCAGGTGCCCGCCCAAAGCCACACAGACTTCTGTACATCCACTCAGACACCCTAGAGTGATTCTAAACTCCTTCTGATTTTGAGCATTTGCCCAAAACTCTGTCCCCAGAAAAAAAAGCACAGACACACACACTTTAAAAAAAAATTATTGATTTATAAAATAGTTGCCTTAAAGTGCAAAATCTTAAGTACTTAGTAAATCCATACACATTCTTTTTTACTATGAAAAATACAAAAGCAAAAATGTAACCATTTTATGCCTTTCCCCCAACACACACACACACACACACACACACACACACACACACAAACACAAACACACACACACTCCACACACTCCATATTTAGCACAGGGTGTCTCAGTGGTTAAAAGCCCAGGCTCTGAAGCCAGACGCCTGCATTCAAGACCCTGAACTTCCACTACTGGCTGAGTGAACTTGGACAAATCCCAAACCTTCTCTGTGCCTCAGTATCCTTAGCAGTAAATCAAGAATCATCGTGCTGCCTACCTCATCCTTTAATATATACCGAATATATACCGAGTGCTCAGATCGGTGCCTAATACTTGGTATTTTGTAAGCACCAGCTGTCATTACTGGACGCTCTTTCAGGGGTTAACCGAACCCCTTCCCCCACAAAGCCCTTGCGGACCCCAGTTAAGAACGACAAACGGCGGGAAGTCACAGACTCCTGAGCTGGAAGGGAGCCACGCAGAAATGGAGAGAGGAGCCACTTTAGCCAGGCTGTCCCTAGGGCCACCCCGCCCCCCTCCCCCCAGTTCCCACCCTGACCCACACCCTTTCCTATTTATACCCAGACGGAGGCAGCCTGCACGCTGACTCACCCTTGGCTCAGACCAATCCATTGTTCTGGGGTTGGGGGGAATAAAAGTGAGTAACGGTGGCCCAAAGGATATGGGGGATGTCAAGTACACAAGTGACCCAAGACAGTGATACCCAGATGCATGGAGAGACAGCCAGATGCCAGGCTGAGACATGGCAAGGGAGGGGTCAGAGTGGAAACACCATCGTGCTGCACTAGAACGCCCACAGGACACCAGACACTCACCCCCCGATGTCCCAGACGCCCGGGCACACGAAGCCCGGCACACACTCAAGACCTACAAACCCAGCGAGCTAATGGTCCTGCCGGCAGAGTCCCACCCCGGGAGAGAGACAGATACCGGTTCCACACACGAAACATGCCTGGCTCCCCCGGGCACTCATACAATTGTCACACGGACCAGTCATTGTAGAGTCACCTTTGCCCAGTTGTAATGTCTACACCAAAACACATACTCAGACAGATCAGTCCTCTCCAGTCTCACATACTGACACTTGAGTCTGCCTGGCACTCTCCCTCTTTCTCGCTCTCGTATACACATTCACGTACACACCGGTCATAGTCCCATCTGTCTGTCTCCCGTACGAAGGCTCGTGCACATACACACACACACCACACACAAGTCATACAAATAGCCTTTTTTAAAAAAGGTTGTATTTATTTTTGAAAGAGAGAGAGAAAGACACACAAGTGGGGAGGGGCAGAGAGAGAGGGAGACACAGAATCCGAAGCAGGCTCCAGGCTCTGAGCTGTCAGCACAGAGCCCGGTGCGGGGCTCGAACCCACGGGCCTTGAGATCATGAGCTGAGCCACCCAGATGCCCCTAGCCTTTGAACACCTAGAGGTTGTCTCTTTCTTGCCAACACTCCCACTGACATCCAGTCTCAAAGTGATACACACTCGTCACACAGCCTCAATGCTGCTTCATGAGATTCTTTGTTTCTGTGTCTCAAACTCTCATGTTCTACCAGCCCGGTTCTCACCAATAGTATACATACCCTTGAACTTCACAGTGACATCCAAGTCTTTCCCCTGCATAACAGTGCACATATCTTTACTGGATTCACTATGTCACGCTGTCTCTCCCACTCTTTCTCTTACACACATACACAGATAAAGGTAATTTAGCCAGTCCTGCCCAAGTATACACATGCATGTATGCGTGCGTGCACACACACACACACACACACACCACTCACTCAAACAGCCTAACAGATATATTCACACTGGTTAGAGTATCACCCAGAGTCTCTGTCCCACACACATATATCCCAACACCACCCAGAGTTGGCTTCTCTTCTCCTAGCTGCCTCCCCACCTCTGATACACACACACACACGCACACGCACACGCACACTCAATAAGCATGCCTAGATTAGAACCACAGCCAATATCTAGGCGATCTCCAGCAAAGGCATCCACCCCACCCTCCTTTCTCCATCCCTGAGTTCCTGCCCTTCCACAAGTTGCCTCCTCTCTCCCCTGTCCACACCCTTGCCCTCCCCCACCCTTCAGCCCTCCATCTGGTGGGTCCAAGCAGGCACTCAGGCCTCTCTTCTGCCTCCCCCATCCCCCAGCCCTTCCCCATCCTCTCCAAAAGCCCAGAGGCCTTCGCTGCAGGCTTTCAGGGGTTGCCACGGCAACGGGGCTTCGTCCCTCGTCCCCCTGGGGGTGGGCTGAGGACCCGGCCAGCCAGACCGATAAGGGGGTTCCAGTTACTGTGGCAACCGTTGCAGGCCTGAGCTCTCTCCGCTTCTGGGGGGGGGGTGGTGGTTGGAGGGAGGGAGTGAATGGTTGCCAGAGCAACCGGGAGCCGGCAAGGACTGGGAAGAGGCAGCTGAGCCCTGTCTCCCCTGCCCAGGGCTGCTGTGGGCATCGCAAAGCACTTAAGCATCATCCTTCCATCCCCCTGGGGTTGTTTTGGGGGAGGGACACGAAGTACAGATTACGAAACAGGCATTCCACTCACTTTTCCAGCTACCCATCATGGCCTGAGAACCCTGGATGCCAGCTTCCCCAGGCTTACTTGCCATGTGATCTGGGCCCAGTCAGGTTCACTTTCTGGACCTAGGTTTTCTCTTTCCATTAAGTGGGACCTGTCTCCCAGGAATTTTCCTATTCCTGTCTGATGAGTGTGCCCTCTCTCTCCCTTGCTCAACAGGAACCACAGAGCGAGTATGCCTGGTACAGGGCACAGCAGAGGCCTTGAATGCTGTGCACAGCTTTATTGCTGAGAAGGTCCGAGAAATCCCACAAGCAATGACCAAGCCTGAGGTGGTCAACATCCTTCAACCCCAAACCACGATGAACCCCGACAGAGCCAAGCAGGTCAGCAGGGGCAAAGGCTGGGTTTCTGTAAAACCGGTGAGGTTCGGAGAAGACACTTCTCCCATACCACTGGGTTACTGTGGAAGTTTAATGGGGTAACGCCGATAAGAGGTTTGTCAATCAAATGCATGGTAGTAGTTAGTTAGTCCTATTATTAGGGAATCAGCCTAGGGACTCCAAATCTCTTGGAGTGGGCTTGATTCAGAGAGAGAGTGAAAGTTTGGGAGAATTTGGCCCAGACAGCCCCCCCCCCTCCAACTTATCCCTCCTTCCTGGGATTCTCTAGACCCTCTCTTTCCTTCCACCTCATCTTATTGTCTCCCAGAGCAACCTGCCTCCCACTTCCTGTTCTCACCGGAAGTGGCTTCAGTGACAGCCCATCCTCATCCAGAAGAGTTTAGAAATGACTTCATACTCCCTCTCTCCATGAATTCTTGTATGAGAGTAGCCACCATTTTGGAGAAGTGGTATTTCGCTAGCGAGAGAGAAGGCACGTCCCTCTTCTACACAGCGCTCTCTAGGAGGGATGAAAGGAGGAGGGCCGTTCCTCTTGGTTGCCTCAGTTACTGGGAAGCGGTGGCGTAGGGGCGTGGCAGCGAGGGGACCAATCACTCTCCCAGCCTCTCTGGTTGCCATGACCACGGCGCTCACCGGGCAGGTGGGCTTGCGGCAGGGGCCCTGGAAGCGTGGCCCCGAATGGGTAGGAGGCGGAGGGGAAGGGAACTGCGCGCACTCCTGCTTTTCTCTCCCTTTCCCCGCTCCCATATACTTGCGCAGACGAGGCAAAGGGGAGAGAGTCCCTGGCAGGAAGACAGGCCACTTGTGAGGGTTCCTTAACGTCTGCCTAGAAGCAAAGACAAGAGACAGACCCTCGGTAAAGGAATCTGGAATTCTTGGGAATTCTTGTTGTCCTGAGATGGGAGAAACCACGGACCTGAGTTCCCCCAAGCTCCTGGGAAAACGGTGGGCGGAAAACCCTGGAAGAATGCTGCCTAGCGGATCGTTCCCAAAAAAGACTTCGGGCTTGGGGGTTTGGAGCGCGGCTGCTGTCCTTGGTGCTGAAGCGTCTCTGCCCGGTCTCTCCCGATTCCCTTCCAACGGGCAGGCCACAGTTTACACACAGTTTACAGGGTCGCAAGGATATTGCCTCTTCCCTCTGCCTTGGTGGCGGCCTCAAAGGGCTCCAAGTTCACGAAGAGTTTGCACATGTTGCAGAGAAATGGGGTCAGCACCATCTGCGCCTGATCCTTCCACCCCACCCCCTAATCCACAGGAATTCAGAGGTAGTGGAATCGAAAGGTTATAGAACCAGGATTTTTCCTCCCCTTACTTATTACTGGGGGGCTTCAAAGAATGAAAGAGTTGAGACTGAAGGCTCAGGCTCTGGAGTCAGATGTTGAGTTGAATCTTACTCTGACAATGTACTTCTTACCTGTGCGACCTTGAACAAGTGACTTGATTTCTCCATGCCTCAAATTTTCTCATCTGCAAAATGAGATTCACTAGGGTACCTACTGAAGGGCAGTGATTAGTGTTCCCTGGTTTTTAAAAAAGCACATAGCATGTATGCCTAATACATAGAAAGTTCTCAAAAAATGTTAGCTGCTGTTATTATGGGATTTTTAGGTCGGGAGATGGGTCTACTCTCTTTCTACATTGGACTTGCTGTGTTACTCTGGGTCCCTTTCCCTTCTGTAAGCCTCAGTTTCCTTTCTTTACAGTGTGGAAGCTGGGCCAAATCAGGGATTATAAATTGAAATGCCTCCAAGATTCAGCAAGGGAACATAAAGAATTGAGGACTCTGGCCTCATCAGAGAGATATAATGCCCTAAACGGGGCAGCTGCTACTCAGCTCCACTTAATTCTTGCCTTTTGGGAATGTAGACAAAGTGTGGCCACATCTTCCACATTTTTCAAAAGAAGCCAGAAATATTTGAAATCGACTGATTTTTAAAGGTTGGCTCAGTCTTAAAAACACTATGTATGGGGCACCTGGGTGGCTCAGTCGGTTAAGCATCTTGACTCTTGATCTCAGCTCAATTCTCGATCTCAGGGTTGTTGAGTTCAAGCCCCACACTGGGCTCCACACTGGGCATGGAGCCTACTTAAAAACAAAACAAAACAACTATGTGGCTGTGGGCTGCCTATGGCCCGAGGACCATCAGTTTGCCACCTCTGGACTACACCAGTGGTTCTCAGCCCTGGCTGATATCTTATCCTCTAGGTAGCACAGAATGCAGATTCCTGGGTCCCAGCCCAGAGCCACTGAATCAGAATTTCTGGGGTGAAGACTTGGGACGCTGAACACAGATTCGGGACTGGGATCAGATCCTGGCTCTATTACTTACTATCTGTGTGACCTTGAGCAAGTTATTTAACCTCTCTTGCCTCTGTTTTCCAATCCATAAAATGTGATAATAGTACCTAACCTATTCTTGTAGGATGGTTATAGAAATTAAGTAAATTACTATACAGAAGTGTTTACAGAAGTGTCTGGCCTATGGAAGCACTGTTAGCTTCTGCTATCATCATCATCATCATCATCATCATCATCAGTATTATTATCATTATTACTATTTGAAAATTTCCACAGACTTGCAAATCATGGAGACAGATGGTCTCTCAGGTCTTTCTGGCCCTAAAACTCCTACAGTTCTATGGCTCTGTGATTTCAAGATTCTAGACATACATTATTCTAAAACTCTACTGTTCTAACATCCTGGCACTCCAGGAGTCTATGAAACTGCACCTTGCGATCTCTCTAAGATGCTATGGTTCTACCACCTGACCCTATCATGAAGACAGCTACCATTTTCTGAGGGCTTCCCATGTGGCAGGCATTCCCATCACTGAATATTCCCAATAGTCATACGGAGTAGCTGTGGTTGTGTCGGTGCTGGAGATAAGGAAACTGAGGCACAGAGAGGTGAAGGCATTTGCTCTTGCCATGTTTTGGTGAACAATTACGTCATCCTTTTGCCCTCTGAAGTGCTGTATCATACTAAATACCTCTTTACTCTTAGGTCTGGTTTTGTGCATTCTGTTCTATCTGCTTGACTTGTCTGACATTTTTCTGATGATATATATTTTTTTTAATAACGGCTGTGTTGAGATATAATTCGCATGCTGTAAAGTTCACCATCTTAACGTATACAATTTATTGGTTGTTCAGTATACTCACAAAGCTGTGCGTCGATGACCTAATGTAATTCCAAAACATCTTCACCACTCCAAAAAGAAAACTCATACCCCTTGGCAGTCACAGCCATTCCCTAGCCCCACTCCCTGTCCCTTCCAACCACTAACCTACTTTTGGTGTCTATGGATTTGCCTATTCTGGATGTTTTATATAAATTGAATGATATAATGTGTGGCCTTTGGTGTCTGGCTTCTTTCCCGTAGCCTCATGTTTTCAAGATTAATCCGTATTGTAGGGGCGCCTGGGTGGCTCAGTCGGTTAAGCGTCCGACTTCGGCTCAGGTCATGATCTCACGGTCTGTGAGTTCGAGCCCCGCGTGGGGCTCTGTGCTGACAGCTCGGAGCCTGGAGCCTGCTTCCGATTCTGTGTCTCCCTCTCTCTCTGACCCTCCCCTGTTCATGCTCTGTCTCTCTCTGTCTCAAAAATAAATAAATATTTAAAAAAATTTTTTTAAAAGATTAATCCGTATTGTAACATAGACCAAAACTTTCTTGTTTTTTATGGCCAAATAATACTTCACTCGATGGAGAGACCACATTTTGTTTGTCTATCAGTTGATAGTCCTTTGGGTTGTTTCTACTTTTCAGCTATCATGAATAATGCTGCTAGGAACATGTGTGGGCATAGTTTTCCGTTCTTTGGGGTATATACATATGAATGGAATTGGGTCAGATGATATGTTTAACTTTTTGAAGAACTGTTAGACCATTTTTAAAGTGACTGTACCACAGATGTGAGATGTAAATCCAGGTCTGCCCATGGGGGTAACAACCATTTCCTGAGTAGCTACTATGAGCACATATTAACTGGATGCCTAACATGGCACCTAACTTAGCACATAGCAGGTGCTCAGAAAATGCTGCTGGTTTGAAGAAACGGATGATGATATGCCCATAAGAGCCAAGCAGAAACATAACTAAGGGGCAGTAGTTCCTTACTCAAGCTCATCATCCCATGAATGATCTCAGGCCTCACAAAAATTCTGTGGAGGAGGAATGAATAGCCCCATTTTACAGACGAGAAAACGGAGTCTCAAAGAGGGTATGTCCCTTGCCCAGCATTAGTGGTAGAGCCAGGATTTTGAACCCGAGATCACCAATATATAAAAACTGGGGTGCTTCCCATTCTACAAATCAGAATTTACAATTAATCTAGAAAACTCATATCAGGCTGAGTTTTCTCCCTCCCTGCCTACACACACACACACACACACACACACACCACCACCACCACCACCAGGTGAGCTACACCTGGCCTCCTCCATCCAGTTCCATTCCTGCTTGGTCCTGTGGACACATTATTGTTCCTTCTTCCATCCATCCATCCATCCATCCATCCACACACTTTTTGCTGTATGCGTACCAGGCATTCCCCGAGGCCCCAAGAACCCAGTAGTCAACAATCCAGACAAAAATCTCTACCCTTGTGGATCTTACATTCTTTCTTGGGGGCACCAAAAACCAGAAAATGAATAAAATAAGCAGAGAGTGAAAAGTGCTATGAAGAAAAATAAAGCAGAAAAGAGGAGGAAAGAGCACTGGGGCATTTTTTTCTCCTTTTTATTTTGAAAATGTTTCAAAGTAACACAGTGAACTCTCTACACACTGCACTTACATTCACCAGTTGTTAACATCTGCTTTACCTCTTCACACACACACACACACACACACACACACACACACACACACACACTGGTTGGTTTTATTTGTGTGTTTGTTGGGTTGCTTCTTTATTTTTGCTGATCCACTTGAGAATAAGTATAAACCTCATGACACCCCTACATTCTTCAGCATGCGTCTCCCAAGACTAAGGGAGTGTCCTATATTGTTATGTTACTATTATCACACCTACAAAAGCTAACACCAATTCCATACTTTAAGTTAATAAAAAGTTCATATTCACATTGTCCCCAAATATCTTTTATATCTATAAAGTATTTTTCTTAAAAAACAATTTTTTTAAGGTTTGTTTTTGAAAGAGAGAGAGAGAGAGAGAGAGAGAGAGAGAGAGCGCCAGCAGGAGGGGCAGAGAGAGGGAGACACAGAATATGAAGCAGGCTCCAGGCTCTGAGCTGTCAGCACAGGGCCCGATGCGGAGCTCGAACCCATGAATCGAGAGATCATGACCTGAGCTGAAGTTGGACGCTTAACCGACTGAGCCACCCAGGCACCCCTATAAAGTATTTTTCTATCCAAGAATATTCATGCATTGCATTGGGTTGTTATGCCTCATTACTCTCTTTTAATCTAGAATAGCCTAATATATATTAGACTATATATTTTAGTCTATATATTATATAGACTATATACTTATAAATATAGTCTAATATATATAAGACTATATATTTATATATTATGTAGTATATATAAATATATACTATATATAAATATATGCTATATATTTATATATAAATATATATAGTGTGTGTATATATATACCATATACACTATAGTATGTAATATATTTTTTAAAGTAATCTCCACACCCAATGAGCGGCTCAAAATTGCAACCCTGAGATCAAGACTCACTGTCTACAGACTGAGCCAGCCAGACACCTCATCTACTATGTATTTTGAAGGCAGAGGCAACAGGATTGCTGATTGGGTGTTGAGTGGGAGAGAAAGACAAGACTCCTAAGTCTTGAACCTGAGAAGCGAAAGAGTGCAGTTTCCACATACCGACATGGGGAAGACCATGGTAGAAACACATTTGAGAAGATGAAGAGTTTCACTTCGGACTTCTAAGTCTGAGGTGTCCATTCTACATGATACTAGCGATGTGAGGTTAGCAGTTGGATACAAGTCTGGAGGTGTTTGTATGGGGACATAAAATAAGCAAAATAAACAAGCCTTGATAATTGGGGTGGTAAGGTCCCTCCAAAGAGGTGCATTTGTGCAAAAACCTGAATGATGAGAGAGGTGAGTCTTCTTTTCTGGGAAGGAACATCCTAAGTAAGGGAACAGCAGGTGCAAAGGCCCTGAGTCTGGACCAAGCTTGCAAGTTGGAGGAACAGCAGGGAGTCTAGTAGCCTGCGCAGGGGTCAGCAAGAGGGAGCGAGGGAAGAGTTGAAGTCAGATCCCACAGAGCAGTGGTTCTCAGTTTTGTCAAAGCCCACGCCCTCTTTCTCCTGCAAATATTTTTCCCACCCCACTTAACTCTGAAATTACATACACACACATACACACACTCATTGCGGCACATGAGAAAATGCATATAATGTCGATATATTACATATCTAAATCTGTAATATTTTTAACAGTTGCATTGAGATATTCATTCGCATCTGTACAATTCACCCGTGTAGAGTGCGCAGTTCGAAGTTTTTAGTGTATGCAGAATTGTGCATCCGTGCCCACAGTCAATTCTAGAACATTTCATTTGCTCAAAAAGAAATCTTGATCCCCTTAGCTATCACTCCTCAATCCCCACAGCTCAGCAGCACCACCACCCCCACTCCAGGCCTAAGCCACCACTAATCTACTTTCTGTCTCTATAGATTTCCCTGCTCTGAACATCCATATAAATGGAATCGTACAATATGTGGCCTTTTGTGTCTGGCTTCGTTTCACACAGCGTGTTTTCTAGGTTCATCCATGTTGTAGCCTGGATCAGTACTTGGTCCATTTAAGTTGATTGCCAAAGAATATTCCATTGTACGGATGTACGTTTTCTTTATCCCATAAGACTTTTTTACATAAGAAATGAAAGGAAGGCGATTTGTTGTAAAATGAGATGGATTTTAACATGTAAATGTTCAGCCAGGACCCCAGTAGAAGTAATGAAATAGTCACCTGCCCACACCTCACACAGCCTGAGCGAAAGAGACAGTGACAAACACAGGGATCCAGGGTGTAGCATCGGAGACGTAAATAATATATGTGGCGTTACTACTGTTGTCATGTTTTATTTTTAAATGACGAATGACTCTTGGTGAAATTCAAAACAAAACAAGGTACGATCTTCCCTTCATTTACTGATTGGTTGCATCACTGGAAATTTCAGTAGATCTTAAAACCATCGGGGGGAAACAAAATTAGGTACTTACATGGATCATGGGGCTCAGGTTTGGGCTCTGAGATTTATAAACAGACTTTTTACCGAGATGAATGTCCAGGGAGGCATTTGATATCCATATAGGGGTCACCTGAGTGGCTCAGTCAAGTAAGCATCCGACTTCGGCTCAGGTCATGATCTCACAGTTTGTGAGTTTGGGCCCCGCATCGGGCTCTGTGCTGATGGCTCAGAGCCTGGAGCCTGCTTCGGATTCTCTGTCCCGGTCTCTCTGTGCCCCTTCCCTCCTCATGCTCTGTCTCTCTCTCTCTCTCACACACAAAAATAAATAAACATTTTTAAAAAATTGTAATAAAAATAAAAGCCACGGGGACCTGGACGGTTCATCCTTGTGAAGAACTGACTCTCACATTCTGGGGTGCAAATACCCAAGGCCCTGCCCACTGAATGTCTGTATCTGCTTCCAGTCACCATGACAACCAAAACCGCTCCCACAAATGTCCCAAACACCCCCCAGGGGCTGGCTCAGGGGCAGAGAGGAGACACAAGGGTGACAGCGTCAGGGGGTGGAACCCACAGGTCTGACAGGACACGGGGAAGACTGAGAAAGAGGAATTTAGGTGTGGAAATGCTCTCGGATATGTGAAAGGAGAATTTGGGCATTGAAATCTCTCCGCTGGAATTCAGACTGATCGGATTTGCAGCGGCAAAGGACCGGCTGCTCTGCACCCCAGTAGGGGACCACTGTTATTTAAGCGATTGATTTTCTCCCTGCCTTCGCCGGTGTAAGGTCTTGTTATCTTCATTCTACACCTAGGACAACGGTATTAGACTGCTAGGGCTGCCCTGACAAAGCGCCACCGGGTGGCTTAAGCAACAGAAGAAATTCATTCGCTCCCAGTTCCTGAGACTGGAAGTCTGCGATCTGGGGCAGTGTTGGTTTCTTCGGAGGCTTCTCTCCTTGGCCTGCCGGCGGTCGTCCTCTCTCTGTGTGTTCTCGTGCGGTCTTCCCTCTGTGCTGTGCGTGCCTGTGTCCTAATCCCCTCTTCTTCTAAGGACGCCAGTCCTATTGAATCAGGACCCACCCCGGTAGCCTCACTTAACCTTAGTTGCTTCCTGAAAGACTCTGTCTCCAGGGGCACCTGGGTGGCTCAGTAGGTTGAGGTCGGAATTCGGCTCAGGTCATGATCTCACAGTTTGTGAGTTCCAGCCCTGCGTCAGGGCTGTGTGCTGACGGCTCAGAGCCTTGAACCTGCTTCAGATTCTGTGTCTCCTTCTCTCTCTAACCCCACCCCCACCCCCACCCCGCTCTCTCTCTCAAAAATAAACATTAAAAAAAATCAAAAATAAAAGACCCTCTCTCCAAATACAGCCCTATTCCGAGGCACTGGGGATCATGTGAATGGTGGGGACAACAATTTGGCTGATAACAAAAAGAGGTTAAGGGAGGCGACCTTGACATAGGGCAGGAAACACCATGGAGCAGGAATCCGTGAGTCTGGATTTCAGCTCCTTTGCTATCTGGGTTACCTTGGGGCAAGTCCCTTGGTCTCTTAGGCCTCAAGTGGCTCATCTGTAAAATGAGATTTGATGAGTCCTTTTCTGGGGCTGGGAGTCAGAGTGTTCAATGAGCTAGAAGGCTAGGGCACCAATGTGAGTGGGGAACAGCGTCCTGGAGGGGGCCCACTGGGTCAGCCATTAGGCCTTTAAGGTGCGGGATGGAAGAGAGGTCCCAGGGGCCCCAGAGGCATGGGACAGGGTGGCTGAGCGCCTACTGAGGGGACTTGGAGTATTGGCTCTTTTTATTTATTTATTTTTTTAACCAACCTAGATGGAAGCATTTCACTTTGTAACAACCCATAGGACCCTGGGGTGCATTTCAAGGGGCACACCGGGCCTGGTTTGGGGCACTTGGGAGCAGGGGGCGAGAAAGACTTAAGACGGCCAGCCCCAGACTGATTTTCTGTTCAGTCTCCACCCACCGTCCTAAAGACCCTCCCTCTCCCTCCACACGCAGGCCAAGCTGATCGTCCCCAACAGCACCGCGGGCCTGATCATCGGCAAGGGGGGAGCGACAGTGAAAGCCGTGATGGAACAGTCGGGTGCCTGGGTGCAGCTGTCCCAGAAGCCAGAGGGCATCAACCTTCAGGAGCGCGTGGTGACAGTCAGCGGCGAACCGGAGCAGGTGCACAAGGCCGTGAGCGCCATCGTACAGAAGGTACAGGAAGACCCCCAGAGCAGCAGCTGCCTCAACATCAGCTACGCCAACGTGGCTGGCCCCGTGGCCAACTCCAACCCCACCGGCTCACCGTACGCCAGCCCCGCTGATGTGCTGCCCGCCGCCGCCGCCGCCTCGGCCGCCGCCGCCTCCGGCCTGCTGGGCCCCGCGGGGCTGGCGGGCGTGGGCGCCTTTCCGGCCGCCCTGCCCGCCTTCTCAGGCACCGACCTGCTGGCCATCAGCACGGCGCTAAACACGCTGGCCAGTTACGGCTACAACACCAACTCCCTCGGCCTGGGCCTCAACTCGGCCGCAGCCTCCGGGGTCCTGGCCGCCGTGGCCGCCGGTGCCAACCCCGCCGCCGCCGCCGCGGCCAACCTCCTGGCGTCCTACGCGGGGGAGGCCGGGGCCGGGCCGGCCGGAGGGGCCGCCCCGCCTCCACCCCCGC